GTGCTGCAACATGATATACAGAATGGAGAGACTTTTGTACATACTCTTATTTCCAAGGTGATGTGTCTGCAGTCTCTTTTAATGGGCCAGTTCTAATTTTGAAACTTCTGATGGGGAATAMCACACAGCACACGTGACCGACCATAAGACACMCATTTGTTTGTTGTTRRGCTCCCAAATTCACAGAGAAAACCMTTCAGACATGGAGTTTTCAAKGACAGAAAACCCYCAYGTGCTATCACCAAGAGGATGAACAAACTGCACCTGTGTTCACCAACAGGCTCAGGGTGCCAGAGGCAGCCCACAACAGGTCAAGAACMCACTCCTGCTGCAGTGCCAGAGCTCCGAGGGAAGAGCTGAACATCTCTTATGTCCTTCTCTGCAGTGATAAATAAACCCTGAAGAACATTCACATGGCTCTCAGAATCCAGACATCACACTACTTTTTGAAAAATAGTGATTTCACCACTGCAAATGAAGCCTGCAAATGTTATACCCGGAGCACTGGCATCTGTGGGATYAGAACTATTTCTTCACATCGAGTAAACAAGTTTTTACACACCAAATTAATTCCTCGCTCCAGATCTGGCCCCGGGAAGGTCAAAGCAACCCACGTTGCTGCTCTCTTGGTGCAAACCCAGCAGAGGCTTTGGCAAGGCTCCCCCATGCCGGTGCCTGAACTGGAGTGCTTGAAGAGATTCCCTTTAAGGCAGAGCAGGGATTTCACGYTTTCCCTCTGGCTCCTCAGATCCAGCTCCTGCCTTTGAAGGCAGCCCCTCTTCCAACAGTGGGAACAAACCCTCGGGATGCTGGCACAGCTCCTCAGGGATGCTAAGGCTGGTGTCAGGAATGTGCTCCCAGGGGTGCCAGGCAGAGAGAGGTCAGGGAGCTCAGCATCCCCTTGAAGGCTCCAGCACCTCACGTGGATGGGGACCAGGAGCAGGAGCTGGGAGCCAGTAAATGCCTGTGGAAATCACCGTGAAACAACAGCCCAAATTAGGTTTGGCTTCTGGGACAGGCCAAGAAATTACTTTGGATCCAGGCATTAGGTCTGGCTTTTCTTCCTGATTGGAATGAAAGAACTGGAGGAGAAATAAAAACTGCAAAGGGATATAAGAGTAAAGAAAATATCTGAACAAGAAGATCTTCWCCAATAGGTAGGAAACCAAGGTATGGAAAGTATGAAAAGACAGGAAGCTTATTGCTCCTGTCACACCATCCTTGTTTAGACTGAGAGTGGAGAAGGAAAGAAAGGGCATTCCTTAAAAAATGTAATTGAGTGAGACATAAATCAAGAGTCAGTTCACTGGAGTAAATTAAGGYTGGCTGCTGTGAAGAGTGAGGAAGTGAAAACCTTTGGTTGGCTGYCCAAGGGAAGGGAGGAGAGGAGATAAGATATGAGGTAGGCGATGAAAGGGATGCAGGATAGAAATGTGAACAGGTTAGATTTGATAAAATATTGTGCTCTAGGTCCTACTTTTCTCATTCCAGTGCTTGGAAGTGTGAGACAGAGCTGATGAAACAGTCTGCAACAAAGAGACAGAGACACCAGGACCACTTTTCAGTTATAAGCTTTTTCTTTTTTAGAATTCAAGCTTACACAGTTATCTATGCCCACTATATTCATAATTACATTTTAATATCTGCATACAAAAGCTATGTAAAAATTATTTTCTTCCCCAAATATACAAATTTTCTCTTTAGATAGTTTAAAACATTTGTGATCACAGATTTTTTTTAATATATTTTAGGCTGAAAAAATATCACCAATCTAGCATAACTCTTAACACTGTTTGCAAAAAAATACATCATCCAAGGTACTTTGTTTTTTACTGTACGGTGTAATGTTTGCCTTACCCTCAGGGCATGAAACTGATATAAAAAATAAACCAAAATAAGCAAAACCCACAAACCTCACAGACAAAGTAGTAAGTCCTCYCAACCATCTTCATAAAAACAAATAAACAACCCAAACCACCCTCCTCTTTAAAAAAAWTATGAATGACTAATTTGATGTATTTATGAGCAAACTGAAACTGTAGAGTGCTAAGGAAGTAGGAAAAGAGAAAAAGAAATTACAGTATGTCAGCTAGTTCATGCCCTGATACTATCTTTACCAACATTAAATGTGTAATTAAATAAAGTGTCTTTTAATGTTTTACATTGTGCTMAGTAATTTACATAAATTTAATCCACACCTGGGTGCTGATGTAGATTTACATTTGATTGTCTTGTGCATAAACAAGGTTAGCTTTTAAAGAAGGTAAACTGTGCAATGGACAGTCACAAACAACTTATTACCTGCACAATATTGCTTTTTGAAGGCGACATCAGTCAATGTGGATACACACAAATAATGCATACTCTTTGCATTTGCTAACATCTATACTAAAACTTTGTGATAAGGCCAAACCTTTTTTTTTTGTTTTGTTTTTGATTTTAAAGCAAAAATATACCATAGTAAAAAAAAAAAACCAAACAAAAAACCAAAAACGTGCTCACACCGTTTTGAGTCTTTAAGTGGAAAATAAATCTCTATCAGACTAGAATAAATTCTCTCTATAAAATTTAAATACAGATCACTTCATTACTATATCAAAAGGAAACGTCTGGCAATCATTTCCAGATGATCACAATAACAAGACACATTAAGAGGTTCTTTTGCCTCTTCCTTTGTGAAAAGATAAATGTTGAACACTTTCAATTGCTCTCACAGTGAGAGGAAAACGTTCCTTGGTTGTGGATTTTGATCCTGTCAATGAAAAAGGTTTAGCCTTAGGAATGCTGGCTACGTCTCAAAACCATAAGACTGATTTTTTAAAATTTATGATTCATGCAGCAAGAAGTCAATATGACACATACAGATTAGAGTTCCATAGCATAAAAATACATCACTAGCAATGACATGCTCTGCTTGTGATTAACAGCCCTCTCTTGGCAGATTTCTGATATAAATGGTCTTTCTGGACAGTTTTTTCCTCTTTCTGATACCTGCCTCTGAAGAAGCAAGCAGTCTGCTCAAGGATGATTTTGGACCTTGGAGGTTTAACTCTAACGTCTACATTTTGGCAGAATGTAAACAAAAATCATTATCACRCACTAYATATGTTATTATAAATATCACAACTTAACTGAGATTACAYGTGAAATGAGCATCTAAATGCACATGTTACTCAGGGCAATGCCATGAATGGTGACAATCGGGTTTGACAGGAAAAACCTTCTGTGTAAGACCCACATAGCAAACATGAGAGCCAYGTGGCACCAGCAGAAACAAGACTCTGGACTGCACTAGAAAGCACAAGTTTGTTATTTCACTCAGAAGGCCAGTTACTACAAAGGGTGCTGACTGTGGCACTGGTGTCTGCCACTGAGGTGGTCAGTCCAGGGGCTCAATCCCACAATGGCTCGAGACCACTGATATTTAAAAGTATGTCTCTGCAGAACTAAGGTCAGTTAGTTTTACTCTCACTATCACATAAATCAACAGTCGTACTGAGAAAGTAAAAGAAGCCACACAAAGTAAGATTGGTAGGAGATCAGAGGCCATTAGATGTCAGTATATTAAATCTGTCAAACTAAGAGCTGGGCTTTAGTCTTCAATTAAGGAATACTACTAACTCAGTCTGTAGTGTCAGACTCCAAGTTACCCTAAAAAGCTAGGAAAGTATGTTGATGTATGTCCTTTCTGCTTAGAGCACAGCCTGAACTGCCCAAGTCAGTTGCCTAATTTTAGGCACTTCAGTCCATCTGCAATCACCTAAGGAAGGAGGCCTGATTTTCTGAACCTGACAAAGCACAGCTCCAAACTGCATTAGCATTTTGGAACTAGAAGAGATGTGATGTTTCCTCTCCTAGATCTCCTTAGCAGCACTATCAAAAGCTTGAATGCCTACTCAAGATYACATTAAGCAAACAGGTGAGGTACTTGCACTGAATTCAGGAGGAATTTCATGCTCAGATCCATGGCAGAATAGTGCTCCAAAAGACATGCACATTTCTCTTCTCTTTGCAGGCTGTTGTGGGCATAGGTGCTGATACTTAAGCCTTTTCTATATTTGTCAAGTATTTTTAGCTTTGTCGATTTCTAATACATGGCTGTAACTCCCAGTACTTTTCCTATCCCTTTTCCCTTACATTTCAGAACAATAAGCTAACCTTCTAACACATATTATGTTCCATTCCATAAATATTATTCAGTCTTGCCTGTTTAGCCAAGGACATCTTATTTTCTTTTACCATGTAACCTAGACATAATAAATATGGGGCTAGAAACTCGGGTTGGTGGTGCTCCAAATGGAGCAGAATGAAAAGAGGAGATTACTTAATTAACTGTTCTTCTAACTGGACACTGTTGTTAAAKATGYTAATTTGTGAAACTTTTAGAATTGYAGAAGTCCTGTATCACATGTGCATTTTTTYRTATTYGCACCTGGAGGCCTCCAATTAAAGACCTGCTTTTATATTCCTTCCTATATTAATATTGCCTCAAAAATGTGTTGTTTTGTCTCTAGATTGTGAAGGCATCAGTAAGGGATTGTCTGCTATTCTGAGTTCCCTATCATGCTGTCAGTCCTCTATCAAGTCACCCCAAAACACCCACACAAAGAGCTACTAGTTTCTGACTCTGTGTCCCTAAGTCAGTGCTCTACATGGAATTTGGATAGAGACTGATGCTGTTTAGACACATGCTTCAAGATGGAGCAAACACAGCCAACAAGAGGTTGTTCAGAGAATATTTATGAATGAATCTTCAGTGGTCTATGTTCACTGTTACCTGCAAAAAAGCCTTCTAAACACACCAATGTGTTTCATTTTCTGATCAAAAAMCCCTCTAAGTGATAACATTAGTGCTCATAGCATTTGGTATCAAATAACAGGGAGAACAAGATTCCAGATCCCTAAAAACATGCCCAATAGCACTCCAAATGATTTGTCAACCATGTAGGGGAAGAGGGGTAGAAAGAATTTGACTCCTGACACACATATATTGTTTTCCATCTATAAGATAAGTTTTCCTGAGTATCCTGTTTTTATGAGGGGATAAGCATRTAACATATGGGTTCCTAATATGGGCCACCATGAGCTTTGAAAGTCACATCCACTCTAACAATGTCCACATCTTGCTGGGCAAATGAGTAAATAAATAGCAGGGAAAGAAATTGGAACGAATCAATGCACAACATGAAAGAATGTGGGGTATGAGGAAGTGCAAAATATATGAACTAAGACTCTGGTTCCCAGGAAGAACAGAGGGATGCTTTTGACGTGTCATACAAATTCAGAGAATGGTTTAATACCAAGCTGATAAAACCCAGGGACAACATCCCTGAGTGGAGATGGATAACAGAGAGGAACCTCTACCTACAATGTCCTCATCACYGGCCTCCAAACATTCCAGGACTGTGAGAACTGGCTTGCAGACTTTGGCAGCAGGACATTTTGTCATTGCTCAGTTTGGTTCCTGCTAGTGCAGTTAGTGGAAATAAATTAAAAGAATCAAGAGAGCATCTAGCCAAATGAAACATACAGACACCAGGGAGGAAGAACCCAGCTGATCCACACATACACACACGCACACACACACACACACACACACACACACACACACACACAGGAGTTAGAGAAGGAGAGAGAGAAGATAGAAATATGTTTAAGACATCTGCTGAAGATTTGTAATTATATATATATAAATTTATATATATACGTGCATATAAACTTTATATATATATATATATGTATAAAACAAAGGATTACTGCCGAGCAACACTATTTGTATTACTGTGGTAAAGCTGTACAGTCTTGAGTGTTGTTAATAACACAGTTGGTTTCTGTCCCATCGGAAGGTCACCTGATAAGTTTCATTCTCCTTGTCCTCATTCCTTGAGTCCTCATATCCCTGAATAACTCTGAGACATTGCCTGCTATTCTGACAAAGAGCCTTCTCCCTCTKCCCACACACCTCAGAGAAAGCAGACCCTTCCACACTCAGGAAAAGCACCTCAGAGGATCAAATTTTCCTCTTCAGTCTAACAGACCTTCCAGTGAAGTTATCTGGAGTCCAAATTTAGTAACTGAAGATCTTAATACCTTATACACATGGGAAAAAAAAAGACTCAGTCCCTTCTAACACTCTGCATTATTTTAAGTACTTGATTTATAGGGCACAGTTAAACTGCATCTGCTGGAACAAACCTCAGAGAATGACGGGATCATGATGATGATGAAGACCCTAGATCATAGCGGCAATTGTTACAGTAGAAACAATCATGAAGACCAGAATTTTTGTGTTTTGAATTGGTCAGTTGTACCCTGCAAAATGAGGTAATACAAGACAGAATTGCCAGGATCAAATTAACAATAGCTGTTTTAACTTGAAGGCCAATTTATTTTTCTGCCACTTCAATCCTTCTTTCCTGTTTTCCAGGCAATAATGGGTGTGAGCTGGTGACCACGCAAATGCTGGTGAATGAGATTGGTCTGTTCGTATTTTCACTGTTAAGCTGTCAAAGCACTCACATCAAAGGACTGAAGAACAAATTGCAATAGTCACAAGTACCCGCATTAAAGGGATGTTTTCATCCATGTGTATACAACTGCCCCCCAGCAACCCCAAAASAAAACCCAAACAAAGCCCCAGCCCCATCTCAAGAAACAGAAGACCACAAAAGAAGAAGAACAAACAGGTGAGAAGAGCTGGGCAACAGGATGAAATGACAGCCAGTAGTGCGACCGGGGCACGAAGAACCGCTTCAGTCTCTAATCCTCAAACACTTCCAGGAACAACGGMGGGAACAGTTCTGTGGGGCACTCCACCTTCATGTGCAGGAAGCGGCTGGCATGGCAGGCTCCGATCATTCGCAGGTCTGTCACTTTCATCAGCAGTTTTGGCCAAAAGTGTGCAACATGGTGTTTTCTGTAATTAATGTAGTGTTCGAATGCCAGGAGGAATCCCTCTTGACACTTTTCTATTCTCTCGACGCAAACAAGGCCTGGGCGGTCTGCAGATACAAAGCAGCAGAATTATCACTCTCACTTATTTGCCCGAACAAATTCCTGATCATAAATTAGGAAAAGTAGCACAATTCTGTTGCTAGAAGAAGGAGACATGGACATTTGGCTCTACCACAAACTTCTTTCACTCTGGACTACTCGCTTATCAGTACAACCCCTGTTAAAAAGATAATCCTTTCTTCATCCTTTGCCTGCTTTTCTCACTTACAGTGTAACTGCTTAGGAAGTGTTTCCTTACAGTGACTAGAACAACAGTTTCCTGATTTCARCTAAGGCTTCTATCTACATTTTTCTATAAAGCAACTAATAAACAAAAATAAATTCTTGCCAGATATCTGAATTCCCTTCTATCTGTTTTTCTACAGTCTGCCCAATGTTTTGATTATGCTCTGATCCCAGGTGAACTGCAAAGGAAACTGTTGTGGAGCACCACAGAACAACAAAGGCCAAAAATCTGACTGTCTCAACTGGCACCCAGATGGGGACTGAAAAAGCCCCTTTCMCAAGTCACTTCTCAGAAGACACTTMTGGGAAAGCAGGTCCTTTGAATTGCCTTCTGAAAGCCCTGTTCCTGCATCACTGTGTAGGGACCTAAAAATAAATCAAAATGTTTTGACTGGGAAGATGAAGTGCTGTGTTGTGATTAATGTGGAAACTTTTCTGTCTCAGATGCARTTAATGCTTGTAAATCACTGACTGTGTATTGTTATTCAGTGCCCAATCTTCAAAGCTCTCTTAAAAAAAAATCTTGCCAAATCTGCCACTGCCCAAGAATGGAATTTCCTCTTTGGGCTGGCACAATCACTGGAAGCATATTTGAAAGCATACTTGAATTGAGAAGGTTAGAAACTTTGGAAATCATACGAAGTGGTCTGTGCTGCTYCTGTACTATGACCAGTTGCAAATGGTCCCAGTGTAGGGAAACAGCACAGYTTGCAAATGCACATTAGGAAGCAGTGGTGCTGTCAATTAGGAAAACAAGAGGGTCAGACTAAAYATATGAGACTGGTAGAAATGTGCATGAACCACCCAGTGCATGACAGCACCCAGGGGAASAGAAATGAACATAAGGACCAGTGTTGCTAAATTATCCATTTTTCATTCAAGGCAAACTGGCTCAGAATCAGAACTGATTTCTTTTTGATGATCATCCCTGGCTCATCCCTAAGTACCAAATTGAGCAAGGTGTRTTACCAAAACCACTTTTATGTCCATCTCTCTGAACACCCTGAATTTCTCTTCTAGTGCTCACCAAAATAAGTCTAAGCTGCACTGGGATTTTGAGAAAAAAATTGTCCCACAWTACTCTTGTCAGTACTACAAGATCTAGCATATCTTATTTCTTTTACAAAGAGGCTTGTGACAAAGACCAAAGAGCTTCAAAATGATTGGAATCACAATATATTTTTGTTCTCACCTGATGACATGAGCAGGACAGCCTGAAGAAGGGCAACCTCGGTGTCATCCAGGTTAAATGAAGAGAGAGACATGCCCAGATCAAAAATGGCATCAGACACAACACCAAGACCCCCATTTTTCAGCTGGCCCCTTGTCACTGCCATCTCCCCATTTAGTGTTAAAGTCTCACTCTCGGGGTCGTAGCGAACTGCTGCTCGGAGGGACATGATCTCCATACAGCAGCCTTTCAGAAGGATGATCTGGTCTTCACATGGCAGCTGCAGAAATTATAAAMAGCAAAGAAAAATTCATGTTTGTCAGGCTGAGTCGCTTTTACAACTACAATAAATCTGTGAGCATGAGGTTGCAGTTCACAGCCCAGGACACTGCCCCACACAGAGCAGTTCCCCTCCAAACATGCTGCTCACTGAATGCACTGCACAAACCCCAAGGATGTGAGTTCCTACCTTCAGGAACTGCCAGCAGGTTAACATTCCCTGGTTAGCATTTCCACACGAAAACTAGCAATGACACAGCTGTATGTTCCCTCAACTTACAACTTACCACAGCACAATAAACTATAATTGGGGCTCAGCCAATTATATATATAATATATATACAGACCTCAGCCATCCTGGTTAAATTCACTACCAGCCATACTTATTTCGTACCTGACTAGAGGAAAAGAAAGACATTTGGGAGGGATTGTAAGAGTGGACTGTGTTTTAAATAAAAGGAATGAAATGAATATATAGAGGATATACCTCAATCAGTGGGGCAGTAATTCTCCCTGCCTGTTTTAACAACAGAGAATTTATCAATATCTGTTTAATCTAGTAAGGCTGTTCTTCCTGAGTCCCTACATTATTGTTGGACAGACAGAAAATATATGGTACAGCTACAACTTTTATGCTGGTGATCTTCAGGGCACTTATCTTTTCCATGATATTAACAAAGGCAAGCTGTCCAAATTGTTRGATGTAGATTCTGTATTTACAAAGTACAACCAGGACCACAGGAGCAGAACATGTTCTATAAAKCTATAAAGCAAGTCTTTATGTTTTCGTTGGTAATTCAATGATAACAAAACCCACCAAGACAATTTTAAGACTGTTCACATATGTGAACAGCAAGGGTCCCACATATGAAAGAGCAACACACTTTTACTWGGCTTGAAAGGAGGCAAAAGGCCATCCATTTTTGATTTATATAAAATGATTACATTTACCTGTCTTGAAATTCAAAATGAAACCCCCATGAACTATAGGTTTACATGGCAACGGTGTACTTGCCAAGCAAGTACACTGATTTGGTGGAAAATGATGCAGAATTACCTAAGGCAAGTGGAAAGAAAGCAGTTCCCTGTTAGACAAGAATCTGAAGAACAAARCTAGACATAGTCAGGAAAATGAGTTGAGTCATGCAGCCACTTTTCCAGCAATGTCTGCTTCAGGTGAAGTGTTTGATTCACAAGAAAATTGACTCATCCATTTCAGGGCAAATGAGTTTCCCTACAGATGACCCTCAGCTCAGCAGCAGTGTGGGGGACTGCACAGGCACAGCAGCAGTCTCACCACCAATGACAATCCCACCGTTTGGCAGCTGAGACTGGAGGAGGGAAAGAAACAGAGTTTAAAAAAATTAAAATGAGAATAGATGTGTGAGAGGAACCATGAAGAGATACTGGAATAAGCAATGGCAATTATAAAAGGGACAAGAAAGAAAGGAAGAGAGAAGAGAGAAATGAAAAAAACCCCAAACCTCTAAAGAGAAGAAAGAATAGTAGAAAAGAAACAGATAAYAGTAGAGAAGACATTTTGTGATGCTTCAGCTGTTTTATTAGTGAGCCATGAAACTAGTGAGGATTTCTCTTTCTACTTGATCCTTCTTAAAAMTTCTTTATGATAGTGGTGGTCTGACTATGCCTGTTCTTCACCTGCTTTCCTAATTCTGAAGGATGCATGGTAACCTGTTACACAAGATACCAGGCCCCAGGTCTTATCCTCAAATAGCAGGAGCTACCAAAGACAGGAGGCTTGAACATCAGTTCTACTCCCAGTGGTTCACTGAAATTCTGCCATGTGTTGTCCTTTCCTCTGCAGGGAGAAAAAGCACAAGGCAGGAACCTGAGGTGCTCACCGCTGGAGCACACATGTGAAATGCAGGACCATGGAACTGAGCTGAGCTGATCTATCTTGAAGGGTATTTACACAGCTTCACCCACTGTAGAACCACTGATGCCCTGACATTTAAAAATCACATCGAACTTATTACATGTTCCACAGTCGTCATCTTCCAAGCAGAAAGAAAAGCAGCAAGGAAACAAGAGCAGAAATGCTGAGAAGTAAAGGAAGCTTTTTTTTATACTTTGATTACTCTGGGATTGGATTCTTGTTTTGAGGAAGGGGCCAATGGATGCATGCAAACTAAGCTAGGCACTTACAGTACTTTGCTGGSTTCTGCATGTGTCTAGATGTGAAAAAGAAGGAAATGTAGCCATGAAAATATAAGTGGCCATGGATGTTCCTTGTCATATCCCTCTTTCATAGAGATTTACCACATTCTCAGACAGTTTCTGGAATTGCAAACTGAGTTAATGTAGAAGTGCTCTGCAGGTCCTATGGAAAAATGTTTTTTTCTCGTAAAAAAAATCCACAGCCCACACAGCATTGCTTCTAAGRAAAGGATATGGTTAAAAATCATAACTGAAACAAAGTTAACAGGAGGGTGCCCCTTCAAAAAAGAACAAACATTTGTCATTTCCTTCCTGCTACAAGCAAGTGCTATATGACAACTCACAGGACAGCTGTCCTACTCCTTTGTGCTCATGAGGAGTTATCTCTCATGCTGCCATCAGATCTTGCTGTATATGGACAGGTGTCAGGTTTGCACAGTGGCTCAGCTGYAAACAAAACCTGTCCAGCTGAGCCACATAACATACAGAGGTCATGCTCAATGATAATTTGGYTTCTTCATCCATGCTTCCTGCCTAGCTCTGACACAAGTGGGCCCATGGTAGCCAGGAGGGGTAGGAGATGTCAGATGGGCACTGAAGTCTGTGTGTGACTGGCAAAGCTTTCTAAATTAAAAGGACTACCTTGGTATGTCACTGCAACTTCCCACCAACAAATGCCAGATCAGAGGAGACAGATTCCCTGATGCTAAATGCTGCAGGGGTCYCATGATCTATGGACATATTCCTTGTATTTTAAAATCTTCATACTTGGCTACTATTTCATGCTTCCTTGACTGATGGCAACAATGCAGATGCTGACCAGAGTGAGATATTTACACTATGACAGCTATTGATATTAAATGTTCATGCCAGAGGACCTATATAGCTCTCCCTGACTGACCTTAAAGAAAAGCTGCCAGCCACAGTAGAATAGATTGTTATGGCAGGCTTACCTTTCCTTCCAGGTAGGGTGTTGACCTCACATGGTGCAACTGTCCCTGATGATGGTGGGGGAGGGTTGGAACTGATCTTTAAACAGATATTTAAGGTMCCTTCCAACCCAAACCATTCTATGATTCTAGGATTCTAGGATTCTATGAAAATTACTTAGGTTATGAAGACTGAAATATTATTTCAGGCTGCATTCCTGATACCATTTTTTAAATTGGAAATAAAAAATATCAGCCATTGCATCTGGTCCTCCAATAAGAAAGATACCTTGGTACAAATGAGATCAGTGTAAGGCCTCTGCATTCCTAATGTGCAACCAAGCCGTTGGGTCTATTTACTGTACATTTTACATGTGATATCTACCTGGAATGACAATCCATTACTTTCATAGACTCTTTTATGCACAACCTCCCCATTCAGGAAAAGCACACCTAGGGAACTCCATGAGACAAGTGCGACTCCTGGATAGGGGTGCTTACCTGAATTAGAAGAATTTTTTACTGCTCAGACCCAACTCTACAAAATGGTACCTACCAAGGAGGCAGAAGATACCATAGGGTATCTTCTATCCCTATCCCTATCCATAGGGAACCATGTGCTGGAAGATTTTATTAAACATATCAGCGAGGCTTCTAGACAGTATATTTTTTTTCATTTGCTTTGCRCAAGGCCACCTCTAAAGACACTTCTGAGGTCTTAATGAACCACAATGAATTCCAGATACACAGACTCAGGATTTCAGTAATCACAGGAAAAAGAAAACTCATGAAAATCCAGATGATTCTAGTACCATCGATTTGAGTGTCTTTAATTTTTTAATTTTAGACACTGAATTTTTAAGTTCCATGCCAGAGTATTTTGAGTTGTTTTTAACAACAAGCGTATAAATGAGGAGTGCAAGAAGGTTTTCTTACCTCACAAAACATAGGCAACTTTTTGGCAAAATCCACCACTCTTGTAATCGCTGGTGTGATAATTTTTGTAAACTGACTGAAGGCTTCTAAATCCACTTTTCCACCTTCTGGCGCATTAACTATTGGTGCCTGCCCAATATCTTCTGGCTAAGGATATAAACAAAGATATTTAAAGGAGCAATCTGTTTTAGAGCAAATATTTTAAAACTCTAAAAACATCCTGCTTGGTGATGGAAGATATGCTGAAATAAAAAGCAACACTATTTGCTTTATAAGTAAAGTCCATTATGTCAGAAAATGTAAATTTATTTGTAAGGCATTTGTGAAAGAGGTGACRGCACAGAGAAATGGGTGACTGATATGGTGCTAACCATCCTTTGTGGGCAGCTGCACTGTTGTGCATACACAGTCTTTTCCTTGTGTCTGTATCTGTGTATTTTATGGGTGCAACACATGCATCTTTTGCTTAAAAACATGGGCACATTGTTTTGTAAAGGCGCTAAAAGCTCTCAAGTTTCTCTATTTGAGGTGACAGGTTACTCTATAGAAGATGCTGCAAGCTTTGCAGAAGTGGGCTCTTTCACCTACTCAAATCTCTGAAAGTCTCCCCAGAACAGATTGCCAGGCATCATGGGGCCCCAGGCAATTGCCAAGGCCACTTTCCAAAAAGCTGAAAGAACTTATGTGCAAGGCAAAAACAACTTTTGAGCAAGAAYAGGCTAACCTAAAGGTGACTTGTATAATCTGAATAGAATTTTAACTCATCTGGGTTAAATTTTGGTTGAAAATTGCCTGTTGCATGACTTCAGCACAAGGTTTCTCCAATATGGGAAAAAATCATATTTTGAGGATTTCAGAAGGGATACACAATGAAATAGCTTCAAGCAGAATCTGTAATGAGTGTTTCTTTATTCCAACTGCTCTTGAAAATGTTCACCTTGTTTTTATGCAACTGGTCAATGTTACCATGTATTTTAAGAACAGGCATATCAAAGCTATTTTTTTTGTTAAGTGTYGCTTTGCAACTACAAAAGACCTACCAACAACAATGAGAGGTTTAATTCTGTTCACATTAAGGTCAAAAACTAGATAAAATCCAGAGAAGTAGACCTTTAAGACCAATGGGCCTCATGACAYTTATATAAGATACTTACACAGGGGAGATGCTGAAAGTGTTGTCTGTAATAAAAACTTGTGTTCAACCACTTTCTTAAAGAAACACATCATACAAGATCCTCCCACAGCTCTGTCGCCAATCTGAATCCAAATCTAACTTCTTACAAGAAAAAACTCAGCAATGTGTTAATAAAGCAAGCACCAGTTGTAAAGGAACAATGAAGAGGACTGGRCTCAATTATCTGATGGTTTCTACTAAAAAAAAATTAAATATACTCATTTCTAGTCTCTCTCCCTCCCTGCATCTTGGGTAACTAAACCACATTGTCTGTGTGCTCATACTAAACAACCTTCATCACTTCCAAGCAAGAAGACCAAATGTTTAAACCCATGCAAACCATTGTTTTGGAGAAAAAGAAAGAGCGCAGCATTTTCTTGGGAAAGGCAAAAGAAGTCAGGACAGCCAGCTAAAGCCAACACAGTGGAGGGGAGCCCTTGCCACCTAACTCAACAGGAGAAGAGGTGCAGACCTCAAYGAAGTTCCTGTTGTCAAAGAAGCAGCCTCAACTGCATAAGGACAGACCCATAGCTCCTGGGGCAGGCTGTCATCTTCTCCGACTCTTCAACAGCTTTTCCGAGCTCCAACCTTGAACTCTCTATGCTTTATCCCAAACCAGGTGATACACCAAGAGCAGTGCTCCTGTCTAAGCAACCAAAAGTACTACTGCAGCTGCTTCTTGGTCTGCTCAAACCAGCACTGCAAATCTTGCTCTGCAACACCCCTGAAAAGTGCTCTCTTGCTTCCTGCTAGTAACCAGGCTGCAGTTTCCTGACTGTACACTACTATGAACATGAGCCATTCATATAGAAATTTAGATGCTGTCACTGGTATTTAAAAAAAACCCAATATGATAAAAGAGATCAGCTGCTTTGAATACGTAATTTCTCTCAGCAATTCAAGTTAGTTGAAATTCTCATGGTGAATTACGCAGCAGGAGCCTAGGCTTGCAAAAGATGAGTGTGCTCTATCTGATTTGGTATACACAGACTGTTAAACATCCCTGTGTATTCCTGAAGCACAGTCTCTAATCCCTCTTTTGTGCTGTACAAGAATTTTGCATTCTACACTTATTTCCTTTAAAAATCGATTTAGAAAAATCAAATAAATCCTTTTKTAAGGTTAAGCATCACAAATCACCATTTATTTTCTGATCCTTAGTTATAGGATGAAAATGTAAGTTGTTTTGTAGGCTGCAATCCCAATGGTATAGTGTATGCATCATCATGTTCTCACTGAAATTTATTTTGTTTGCCTAATTTATTTTCATTGATGTATTCACCATTAACCAAAAGAGGAAAAACCCATGAGTTATTAACAAAAAATACCAGCTTTTGTATTGTTTTAACAGTTTCAATATGTTTTATGATAGTCCYCAATAAAGACAACTATCCCTAGATAGAATATACTAAAAAAGATACAGTATGCATTATAGACTGCCGCTGTTCTTAATCAGGAATGAAACAATTTTTCTACTTTTTCTTATCATAGGACAATAAAAGTACCCAGCTGATTAGGCCTTAACATAGCAACATGCTGTTTATTTTTTGAAATACATAGTCTGATCAAACACCGAGCTTCAGGCAAGAAAAAGCAAGTAACAACTATGTAAAATCATCCTTTTTCCATAAACATCAATACATTGCCAGATAAAAYCTCTTTGGGGTTGCAATGCTGGGAAGGCACTGCAGAAGAAAGAACAGAGCCTGTCTCCAAGAGCAGTGTACAAGCACTTACAGCACTTACCAGAAATTTCCTTTTCTGCTTCCAGTGGCTTCCTTGTGCATTGGTGGCCACATGTGCTTCCGTAACAATTTTGATGAGTTCCCATTCCTCATCCGTTGGCTCTGGTTTGTGCCCAATSGTTTTCTGCAGCTCTTCTCGACGTCTCTTCTCTCGATTTTCTTCTATCAGCTTCCTCTTTGCCAACCTCTTGCTGTCATCCAACACCACTAGCAGGGCAAAAAACATACAAAAATGTTCCTTAAGAGGAAGCTCTTAAGGCTGTCAGAACTTCGGTCTTTTCTGTGCCTGACGTAGTTCACCTTAACTACTCAGTAAGGAAGTGCCTAGGCAAGACACACAGTTGGGAYAGTTCTCTTTTTTCTCCCTTCAAACTTCATTTTCTCAGAAGCCTGGACAGCAAAGAATGACTTACCCTCCTGGTAATGTTTTGCATTGACCTCAGGGGGTTATTCCATCAATAAAACCAATATGCAAAAGCTTTGTGAGGTGTCAAAGTGCTCCTATAATGGATTTGGAATAATCCATGTTGGGAAAGATGCACTTGTGTTTTCTTTGAAGTTGCATCAGCATGCTCACACTCGCTGCTCTGAAGTGCAGAACATGTTCTTGGAAGCCAGCAGAAAGTAACAGGGATTGAAGGTGGGAGCACTCATTCACAGAAGGCTCATTGACCTGAAGCATGACACAATCAGAGCAACCTGCCTTTGGCTCTTTCCCTAATCCCCACAAGTGTTGCATGGTGTTCCTATAGAGCCCTATTACTTCCAGTGACTCAAGGTACACAGGCCCCAGAGCTACTTGCTCACAGTCTCACTGGTATCCAGTCCCTCTCCTGAAAGTCTACCTAGCCACAATGAAATTGTCTCGTTGATTCTATTTCCCTCTAGACAGAAGGCACTGTTRTACATCACATTTACAATAAAAATACTAAGTTAGACTATTTTTCTCTTGTTTACTGGGCCTGGTTTTCTGTAGGTTCTTCTGCAAAGGATTACACTGGAAATAACCATGAAGGCACATGGGATTTATGTGACTTCTGGGGGTTTTATGTGACTTCCTCCCATTTATACTAATTGAAGTTATTGGTATAAATGTCTGTGCAATGGCAGGAAAAGAAGACCCCYAAGGGTTAATCTTACAGCCATATTTTCTAGTGCTTTAGAATGAGAGTTGAAATCTTTGCAGCAGATAACTTCTTCAGGGCTAAAAATAAAACAAACAACTGCAGGATGACTCATACAATGACATTCAATTTCACATCCTCCAGAATTTTCTAAACAAGATGTTTTTATCTCAAGCAAAGTGTCCATCCAGATGCATTTCTCCCTCCTCTCCTCCCAAGAGTGAACATTCCTACTTTACTCAGCTTGGTAAGGCCAGGAGCAGGTGCAGCCTGATGAAGGATAAACAAAAAATTACAGCCCTATGGAAGTGGCTTAACGCAATGAGTGCAATTCCCTGGTACAAGTTATTAAAACAGGAAAAGTGCTCGCAGCTCTACTTTACTTTAAGAAGCTTCATCAATCAACATACTTTAAGCAAACACAGACACTGAAAAAAAAAGATAAAAGAAAGGAAACCAGGAAAATATACTTACAATCTGTTGCCATGCCAACAAAGATACATTTTTTGAAGCGACATTCCTGGCACTGATTTCTTGTTACTTTGTCTATCACACATTTTCCTTCATATTTACAGGAATAGGTTGGATGGAGGTTCTTCTGAATGGTTCTTCTAAAAAAACCCTAAGTGCAAGAAATAAATACATTGGAAAGCAATAGCATTGAGAAWTTTTTAAAAACTGGGAGCTGTTTTAGTTTGTTAGGCATGTACTAAGTATGCAACATAACATGCTTCATTCCCTGAAGCTCTCAAAGCTCTCAAATCAGTTTTATAGTGTATGGCATTTCTTTCGATTTTCCTTAAAAATTTAAAACATAGACCTATCTCAGGTAAGTAAAGGTGCAAGTAATGCTGTCTTGAGGCACAAACACTGCATACATATCTTCTTGTAGTCTTATGTTTTACTGTGTTAATTTCTTTTGTATATGAAGTAGTTTATTTTGAGTCCCTTTCCAAACTCTGTAACTGTTTTGAAGGATATTAAAAGKCATAGACACAGTTTTAATTACAGAGCAGCTTCTGCAAATAGAAAAAATGGTGGTGTTCTTGTACTGTTAAAGGATTAAGGACAAACAGTTCTCCTCCTTTCTTTCCATAAAAGCCAAATAACCAGCCAACGGACCAACCAAATCTGGGCAAGAGAAATATTTTGCAAATACAGTCTACACAATCTTTGAGTTTGGTTCTAAACAGGTGGATCCTTAATTTATAAATTATTTATATTTCTGAGAAACAAATTGAATTTATATTTACCACAGAATTTAAAAAGCCCCATCACCTCTAAAGATTCCTCTCTATATCTATGTATCTATGTATCTATGTATCTATGTATGTATCTATGTATGTATGTATGTATGTATGTATGTATGTATCTATCTATCTATCTATCTATCTATCTATCTATCTATCTATCTATCTATCTATCTATCTATCTATCTATCTATCTATCTATCTATCTATCTAATCTATCTACCTACCTACCTACCTACCTACCTACCTACCTACCTACCTACCTACCTATCAACCTATCTAATTTATCATAATACAGAGATATTCTGCAAACTGAAACAGATCCTAAGACCATAAGAACTAATGCAAGAGAATTCACTCATTTATACACCCCACAATGCCTGGCTGTAGYTTAAGAAATCAGATAACATTTATCTCTGAACGTTATGGATATAATCCTGGTATTAATGTCAACTAGACTTTTCTCACTGACTTTTGCAAGGGCTGGATAAACTCTCAGAGATGGTAAGATATGAACAAGATAGGTTGTAAAGCAAGAAATTTTGACTTCACTTTAATTTCAAGTTTCACCATTATTTGAGACTGTCTGCACTCAGCAATGCAGCTCGGGATCATCATGACACAGAGAACAAACTGACACCCTGGTCCTGTTTGACTGAGGCTGCTGAGAATGGCTTTGGTTTCAGTCAAAACAATAGCAAAATTCAAAYGAGATTTTACATAATGAATAGTCTCTTCAGCTGGGTTTTTATCTAATGAATAGTCTCTTCACTTCAGTAGGCAAAAGGTCTGTTTTTAAATCATGTTAAATAACACCCAGTAAAATCTTACAGCAGTGCGCAATTTCTTTTAACACCGAATGTCGAATTAACATGTACAGATAAATYTGTATTTCAGCTTGTACTCCTAACTCCTGTGAAGACAATAAAGAGCCTTGTTCTCATTAGAGTTCTATCTTACAAGATTCAGCTTGAGCTAAGAATACAACTCTTTCTTCCTTAATTACATTAAGATCTGAAATGTTAATTAAACTGAGTGGCATAAAGCTTGTGTGTGAGCCTTTGCAAGACTGGGACCAGTTGTGTTGAGATAAAATCCAGGAAATAACGTGCAAGATATCCTTATGTGAGATTTGGAAAAAGTCTCAAGCTCTCATCTCCCAAACAATTGGTTTTGGTTCCWTTCTCAACCCTGTGATGAATTCCTAGAGACAGGATCTCCTCCTCTCCTCCCTGAAGATTTAAGATAGCTGTGGACAACCAGGGTCACGGGGTTAACAGTAACTACAGCAAGAGACGGAAAAATCTCTAACGAATCTCAGCAAGTGACCCTCTGTTTTCCAAACCTTGCATAAGATTTAATGTGCAAAGCAAGTGACCCTCTGTTTTCCAAAATCTTGCACAAGATTTATGATGGCAAGGCTTTCCACCATCTCTGTTGGGACAGCCCATTTTACCTTCTCATCTCTTTGCGTTTCTCAGAAACTTTTTGCAAAAAACCTTCTTTGCACAACTCTAGATACATGGTAAGGAAGCTGCTCTCTATATCTGTCCAAACACTTCATCACAGAAGTGTTATTTTCATCAATAAAAGAAAGAACATTGTATTGTAAGGCAGCAATTCTTCTTAAACTCCTTTACTATGCACCTATATAGTAATAGATGCAATGGATAAAGTCTGGAAAAACATTTCAGTGATGTCAGAGCTCACTGTTCATTTATTTGTGTTTAAAATACTCCTAAATTTACTCTTCAGAAATCATGTGTGAGGATGTTTTGTTCGTGAATGCATTTGCCAAAGGAGATCTTTGGCTGTCAGCCCTGATTATTCTTGTTACAAAATAAAGTGACTTTGAGCAGAAGCAATGAGTAAACATCATGTTAATTGAAAATCAATGATATACATATATATAATTGATAATACATATAACTTTGCTGATAAATCATACAACTTGAAATGTGTATGCAGCTCCTCCAAGAAATTCATTAACTTTTGCAAATTGTTAGCTCAGTTCCTTGTGCACATAATCATTATATAAAATTGTATATCAGACAGAACTGTATCTGAAGWTAAAAGTATATTTGTATACTATGTCTCTAAAATAGCTGGTAGACATAAAAAGAACTACTTGAGTTGAAGTTAACAAAAACCTTAGTAGRAAAGCTGGTGGGGGATACTGCTGTCCAGCTGGGAGCTAAGGATACTTTATAAAGCTGCTTACTTTCCATTATATCTGAATTAAGTTGCATCTGTACATGTTACATATTTTTATCATCTGTATACATGATGCAAATGTGTAAGAATCACATGTGCAGTTCCACAGTTCTTCTTAAAGGTATAAGCATTTTTTCATACACTGTATGTAAGCCTAAGTATAAAATCATTATGAATACTGCCTGGATCTGCTATACATAGGATATTTAGGTCTCTGTGCATTTCATAAACATAACTTAGGGCAATGATGGACAACCAACGGAACTACTTCAATACAAGAGTTAYTGTGCTGAGGGGCTCTAAAGCAAATCCAAACCCAAAATCTCAGATCCAAATGTTCCAGACTTTGTGGATGAACAAAATGAGACTTCTGTGGCTTAGTCTCATGACACTAGTCCAAGGCATRTGTGGTCCCATTTGTTTAGAAAAACAGTATTTTTATTTTCTGCAGGAAAGAATAGCCTTTTTACAGAATCTTAAGCTATTCAGGCAAACTCATGGCAGTGAAATCATGTAAGACGTGCCTGCTTCTGTTACTCAATTTTTTTATTTACTTGCCCAAAGCAATCTCTTTTTAAGTTTAATTTTGCATGTAGTTTTGGAGATGCCATTTAAGGCTGAAGGCACATTTCAACATGCTTAAGTTAAAGAAGTCAGAATCTTTTTGAAACTTTTAATTGGGTGTCAATGCTTCCCAAATTGACAGGTTTTAGTGTAGTATGAGCATGTGGAAAGGATTTTGATTTTTGCCTCTTCACAGGGATGATGCAAGGCACTGGAACATTGCTAATCACTACAGACTCTTCATGGCCATAAGCAGAATGTCAGCTATTGCATAAACAGCTTCAGTGGAGTTACTGGGAACATGCTCATGTATTCTGGCAGAGAACATGGCTAAAGAAATATTTAAAAATGGAAATGTATAATCTAACTGTTAAACAGCAACAACAACAATCTAAATTTCTTGTTTTCTTTTCAGAAGCAAACATGGCAAAAATCAACTACATTCCTTATGCATATGAAGARCAGCAGCATGGCCAGATAAGGCTTATCATGAGTACTGGATGTTCTTATTAGCTTCTAATCTGTCTTTATTTGGTTTGACAGCACAGTTCAGGAAGTCTGTATAATGGAGGAGCTGGAGAGCTATTTCTGCTTCCCACTTTCCCACTATGCCATTTACCTTGCAACCTTCGCAAGTGATGCAGCGATAATGATATCCGGTGGCTTTGTCCCCACATACTACACATAGCTCATCCTTGTCTAAGTAACTGGGTATATACCCTGCAAAGAAAAAGATGTAGCATGTAAAGTCCATATAAAATGATACAACACATTTGATATAAAAAGATCGGATTAAAATCCACTGCAGATCWACCAGTGTCATTCTTCTAAACTCACTGAATTTCCTGAATAAAAGTTTATGCAGACTTAATTAAATAGTTGATAGGATCTTCCACTCTTCAGACTGATTTAGCGTCTATTGATCAAGAGGGAAAAGTTGGAACATGATTTTTCTCTCCTAAGTGAAATACTACCTCAGAAAATATTCATTAATTCAAAAGATTTGATGTGAAATAATAAAATAGCAGTTAAGACATACAATATATTTCTGTTCTACATATCAGAAAAAAAGTAGTATGTTTGCACACTACAGATGAGATCCCAGGTTTCAGTGTGACATAGGAACTTGGTAGTAAGAAATATTTGCTGACAGATGGTTTGTTTCAAAGCAGAGAGGTACTACGAACATATAGCCCAAGCTGTATTGATCATGCCTGCCCTGGATATGTTTCACAGAAACACTTAACATRGCCCAAATTTAAAGCAAAATGCATGGACATTCAAATATATGGGTGTATGTATATGTATGTATTAGAACGAAATTTTCTCTTCAAAGCAGTTTACTAGATTCAGCCAGTGAAAATACTCCTGCTGTGAAAGAAATTGGCAATGCTTGGTTCTTTTCCCACAAYGACATTTGTTTTGATAACATAAACATATTTTCAATTTGAGCAAAAAACCAAAGCAATTCTGACGGCAACCAAAAAGTAATTGTAAATACAGATAACTTTTAAAGAAGGTAAAATAYAAACCTTTCAAAATCAATGTTTTCATGACTCATAACTCATGGAGTTACAGTTCATAACTTTATCTTMTGACAAATCTCACTGTGAAGATGTAACAGAGATCTCAGATTCCCTTTGAGGGGAGAAAGTGCACCTGATTTGTAAACTGTGTAAGATTACTGGAGTGTAGTGAACATTTCACAGAATCCCACAATGGCTGAGGTTGGAAGTCATCTCTGGAGATCTRCTGCTCTGACACCCCTGCTCAGCACAGGGCCACCAAGAGCCAGCTGTCCAGGACCATGCCCAGACAGCTTTTGAGTATCTCCAAGGATGGTGACTCCACAACCTCTCCGGGCAATCTGTGCAACTGCTCTGCTTTATCACCTTCATAGTGGAAAGAAAATATTGCTTTATTATTCTCAGAAGGAATTCCCTGTATTTCTATTTATGCTTGTTGCCTCTCGTCCTGTAACTGGGCACTGAGTCTGGCCCTACTGTATGTGGGATCAGAAATTTACATACATTGATGTGCCCCCTGGGTCTTCTACAGTATGGGGGATCAGAAATTCATATACACTGATGTGCCCCCTTGAGCCTTCTCTGCTCCAGGCTCAACAGACCCAGTTACTCCTCATAGAGGAGATGCTCCAGTTCATCATCTTTGTGGCCCTTTGCTGGGTTTAGCCAATGATGTCTGCATCTTCTGCTGGGGAGCCCAGAACTGGACCCAACTGTCAGAGACCAGTCTGATTCTTATTCATGCCTCAACATATGTTCCACGAGGTAAAAGATGGCTTCCGGGAGTAGTGTGCTTRCWGGGAGCTCTGTCCCTCAGGAGGCTTTGCCTGGCAGCCMSTCATGGCACAGACAGCTTCCCYYGSTGCTCTGCAAGCGCCCTGCCCCCCTTGYTGGTAAGGTAAATGCCCGGAAGCCCGGGAAAACAGCGCGCGGAAAAARCGCACGAGAAATCACGCTATGGGAAGGCAAGGCATATAARARCAGCKAACKGCGACACAACGGGGGCCATTTTCCTTTGGAGTTCTTGGAGGTAGCGGGGGGCCGCCTTGAGGGTCACCTTGGCCTTCCCCCCGCTCCCTCGCTTTTCCTTTTCTCCCTGTGGTCCTGCCTTCCCTGTTCGCACCTGTCTTCTCCTTGCGCTTTGTTTCGCCGCTTCCCCGAGGCATCTCGACCCTGCGACAACCTCGTGTTTGYTCTTCCCGACGRAGCCGCCGCCTGCAGCAGCCGCTGTCGTGGGTCCCGCAGCAGCTCCCTGCCCTCAGCCGTGTGTCCGGCGGTGCCCGCAGCCCCAGCCTGCCCRCAGCAGCCGCAGCTATCTCACGAGGGTGCCCGTAGCCACGGATTCGTCTTCGCCGACGGGAAGGACACGCAGCCGCTGCTGTTTGGAAATCGCGCCCAGCCCGCCCCTGGAGCCGCGCAGGCTCCTCGCAGTTCGCAGCACACACACACTCCTCCTGCCGACGTCGACGGGGTGCCCGAGGTACAGCAGTAACAATGTCTCCTATTCTGTCTCTTTCCGTTTCTCCTTTTCCCTCTTTTCTATTCCCCCCTTAGTAAGAAGTGGTAAGAACACTTACCCTTCTTTACCAATAAACAGTTCTCAGATATAATATTGCCGCGTTTACGCTTCATTTTTTTGTCCAAAAAATCTATTAAAAGAATCCTCCCCRACTCCCTCTTTCCAAGCGGGACRGGACACCAACACTGTAGMMCACAAGAACTGAATAGAAGGGAAGGATCGCATTCCTCCAGCTGCTGGTGATGATTTTCCTTATTTATACCAGGATGCCATCAACCTTCCTGCTTCAAGGACACACTGCTGGCCCATGTTCAATTTGTTGTCCACTGGAACCCCCAAGTACTTCAGTGCAAAGCACTTTCCTGCCAGTTGGGATCCAGCCTGAAGTACTGTGTTTATTATTCCTCCCCTGGTGCAGAATTGGCCTTTGCCTTTGAAGAACTTCATGAGATTCCTCTCATCCCATTTTTCTAGCCTGTCTAGGTTGCTCTGATAGCACACTCATCTGGTGTTCCAGACACCCCTCCCAGTTTTGCTTCATTGCCAGCTGTCTGAGTGGAATTTTTGAGTGCAATGAAGAAGAGCCTTTTGGATGTGGCTGCCTGTAACACTACCCTTTGACACTGGCTTGCTGAAGCCATCTGTAGCACCATACATAAAGGCCAGACTTGAAGCTTTCTGCTTTTAATGCAGCCCTCACAGCAGTAGGGGTTGGTACAGCTTGGGGACTTGGGACAACAGTCAMTTGGGGGGCAACCAGCAGCAAGACTCAGAGCAGCAGAATGCTGTTGAAGGATGCTGCAAAAGGGGTGGCCATCATCTTTTTGCAACAAACATGCCAGAGGGTCAGCTCAGTAACAGCTTAAATTAAAATGCATTCCTAAGGCTATGCTTCCAGYGGTTTTACAGAAAGGAAAGCCCAAATCAAAGACAAAAGTAAACGCAGCTTAAAATGCTTAAACTTTATGAAGGCTGAGGAGCAAATCAGGAGAAAGTAATGAGGGCAGAAAGCATTTGCATGGCCTAGTCTAACTGTAATTGCGAGAATCTCAAATATAGAGGAACATATATCCCTCTTCTCTAAAACRAGGAAGCAGTAGTACTCGGAAGCCATGCCTGGACACAGACAACTCAGTTCTGCTAATACTCCTACTGACATCTGAAAGGAGAGTGGGGGAACGAGCTGAGATCTTAATGCTCTATCAAGCCAGTCTACAAGACAGCAAAAGATCGTATTTACATGCAGGCTAAATTTCTCCATAATGAACAAGTTATGCTTGGATAGACTGGTRGCCATGTTACATTGAGGGATGAGAGACAGCAGGGTTTTTGACTCTAATTACATCACTGACTCCTAATAGACATTATGCCAGTGGGGGATTAGCAGAGGCCATTATCTCTATCCTGCCCCCACTCTGCTCACACCTGCCTCTGCACATGCAACATATACACAACACAGAGCTGATAGAGTGGGCAGAAGATACAGCAAAGCAATGAAGAATTTTCCCCTAAGTTTCTCATAAAGATCAATAGCTTCTYGTTATTGCTGGTTACTGCTATTCATGAAACACAGACTTCACGTAGGGTAGAATATGTCCTCTAAAATTCAGTATCCCTGGTTATYTTCTTCAAGAATTGCTTCTGAATTAAATATCTCATTAATATAATACATTTCATTAATTATACAAACTGGTTAGTGCTACTCATGTAATGGCAACTTGTTCTACTGGAAGAACAGAAGATCATATGTCTAAACCGATTCCTTAAATATATACAGTAGGTCATGCATGCGAYCACTGCGCCCCCATCTCCTTCTTGGAGTTTCATGACTTTATCCAATATAGGAAACAGTTTCCAACCTGGCAGTAGACAGTGCTACAGGCACCCCTAGTACGAAATTAAGAATGCCATCCTTACATGCAACCAACCTTACAYTCAAGATTCCAAATTTTCTTGCATCAGGAGTATTAAGTGCCAGCTACTTAAGCTACCTAAATATTATGTTCAGTTTTGCAGGATTGASCCCATGTCACAAGGGAAGCACACATTTGGAACTCGTTGAGGGATTCAACAGGAAACTTCAATAGAAAAATCTTATCCCAAGAGATCACTAGCAACAAAGTTGTGCAATACAAATATATTTTCTTTCTGTTACAGTTTGCTATATTTTTAACACTCCTTCCAACAGCTAACGAGATCAGAAACTCACCCAGAGTGGGAAAATTGAACCTTCAGTAGTATTTAAAAAAATACCATTCAGACAGACATCACTGCAAAAGGAGTAAGTGGATTTACATTCAGTTSTTACTAACAGTAATGTCCACTCCAAGTAATTTCCAGTAGTTTTAAATATACTGTATRACCTCTGTATAAATTCAATACAATTTTATTTGAGAGATGTGCAGATAAACAGACTCAGTACATTTTTCCTGCTTYTAAGAGTTAGAAACAGCATTAGCAGGAAGAAATTCAACACTGTTTTTCTAAACGTGGTACCAACAGAAGAGAAAAATAGTGAGCGGAGACTCTTGGGGAAGCCATGGATGACAGCAAAGTTATCTGTTAGATGTTTTGAGAAAGGGCAGAGCAACAGATYTGTCTCACTCTATGCACCACTGCTAGTAACTTGTGTTTCCTATCAACAAGTACTTTTGTTTCATGTGTGTGTAATAATA